ACTCAAATGCAAATGATATGACCTATTTTAATATAGGTTCGTAATGCATAGTTGCAGCATCTGCCAAGTGGTTTACCAAAACTAATTCTATTATGTTGAGAATATTTTTTTGCAACTGCTTCAACCGATATTTTTTTCTTTACTTCAGTTTACTTCAGTCGATATTTTAGTGTTGCGATGTCTTGCAGATTCACTTAAACTCATTTTTTATTCAAGCACAAAATTCACTGCATTTAGCATATCCGTTTCGTAAACCTTCTTGCAAAAAATACCAACCTTGATCCTTGGCATTTTAAAACTAAAATGTACTAACAAAATTGATAAAGTATTTTTATGCTTTTAATTCCTTATAGCTGTACAGAAATTAAGTAATAAAATGAGCTTAATTATGATATTGATACAGTTGTCCAACTAAATAAATTAACAAAATTGATTGTTCCAAATTTAGTAGTGGCCCAAGAACAAATATTGAATTACATTACAATGCAATGGAATTGTTTCATTTCCATAATGATATAAACAATTTTGCATTCAAGAGCAATAAAGCACAGCCTCCTGATAAACTCAATAATTAATTTTGTAAATTTAGTCTCTTAAAGTTCGCAAATAACCGAGGAAATAATTTTTTTCGGTCAAAGGTACAACGTCCTAATCTGATCAAAGGTGTACAAGATGGGTTTCTTTAACAATTATTCTCTTAATCCCCATTTATGGTAAGAAATAATCATCCAAAATTTTTCATAACAAAAAAAAAAAGATGGGTAATGCTTGTAATTTTGTAAATGAATCAGAAAACAATTCATGACCGTTTTAAAATCAAAATAAAATTAACACAAATATTTACTTTTTAAAAGTAAAAACTTATAATTTCTCGTAGATTGATACAATCCATTCCAAGTATGATCTTTTACTGTAAGAAGAGCTGTAATGGACTATTATTTCAAATGTCACTTAACGTTTTTTTGAAATAATAATAGTAAGCCGACAGGATAGAGTGACTAAAGGTACAACGTGGTCAAAGGTACAACAGGTTCCCCTAATGGAATGTTAAACACATAAAGAACTACTTATATAGATAAGCATGTGTGATTTGTATATTACAAAGGTAATAAAATCACTTATTCAGTTTTACTATACAGTAGTATCCTTCATAAATCAATACTTGGGGTATTTATTTTTTGACATACGGAAACAATTTCTTGATCGCAACTTTAATTTAGATTTCTTTTAGATTTTTAGACTTGAATTATTTTGTAATTATTTGGATAATTTTGAGAGTGACAACGAACAAATTCTCTAACAGCTCAAGCTTTATTTATTGATGATATTTATTTCTATATATTAATGTTGGTATTTTTATTGTCAACAATCAAGGCTGTATATAATAATTTTTTAAATAACTTGTTTTGCTTATTTTCATTAAAAAAAAATTATCTAAGCACATTTTCGGAGCTCTCTGACAGGTCAGGTTTTGAAAAGTTATTAGAAAAAAAAAACTAATTCGAAACAAAAATGTTGCCTATTTAGATAGCAATATATGTAAAAAGTATTTAAATTTTTTTTTTTTTTTTTTTTTTTTATTTTAATTCACCTCCTCAAGGCCGAGAAGGCCACTACAGACGAGGAGGCTACTTATTTGTGGTTATAACCCTCTCTCAACTCTATAACTCCGAAACACGAACCTTGACGAGTAAGGCCGCTGCGCGGAGAAACGAGTTGAAATATTGTATACAGTCACGTTATGTATTGAAAATACATAACGGTTACACTATTGTTTGGGGGTGGTAAACAAAAATTGTAAAAAACCTGCTCCCCAACAGATACAATTACGCCACTACAAATAGGCTTATTCAAATAATATAATATTAAATAATATAAAGAAATATTTCCTTATTTAAAGCAAACTAAAGTACGGATATGGATCATTAGGTTGTACATAAAAAAGGGAACTTAACCCTTTTTATCTTAAACGTAAACAACATATTTATTATAACTCATAAAGTTAAAAGTTAAAAAAAAACTAAAATTAATAATTACTGTTGTTAATTATAGGAGGTTATTTGCTTCAAAAAAGTTAAAAGGTGAATTAAAAAAAGTGGTTGAACAGTTTTGCATTATATAATAAATATCATATAACACGAAAAAAGAATTGTAAATTTCTCAGAACTTTAGTTTTGCAAAAAATTGTTTTGGTTTTTTAAAAAGCGTTTTAAACTTATTATTATAAAATCTTTTATCTGAAACTTCACATGTTTATCTAAAACTTCACACGTTTATCTGAAACTTCACATGTTTATCTGAAACTTCACATGTTTATCTAAAACTTCACATGTTTATCTGAAACTTCACATGTTTATCTGAAACTTCACATGTTTATCTAAAACTTCACATGTTTATCTGAAACTTCACATGTTTATCTAAAACTTCACATGTTTATCGGAAACTTCACATGTTTATCTAAAACTTCACATATTTGTCGGAAACTTCACATGTTTATCTAAAACTTCACATGTTTATCTGAAACTTCACATGTTTATCTAAAACTTCACATGTTTATCTAAAACTTCACATGTTTATCTGAAACTTCACATGTTTATCTAAAACTTCACATGTTTATCTGAAACTTCACATGTTTATCTGAAACTTCACATGTTTATCTAAAACTTCACATGTTTATCTGAAACTTCATATGTTTATCTGAAACTTCACATGTTTATCTAAAACTTCACATGTTTATCTGAAACTTCACATGTTTATCTGAAACTTCACATGTTTATCTAAAACTTCACATGTTTATCGGAAACTTCACATGTTTATCTAAAACTTCACATATTTATCGGAAACTTCACATGTTTATCTAAAACTTCACATGTTTATCTGAAACTTCACATGTTTATCTAAAACTTCACATGTTTATCTGAAACTTCACATGTTTATCTGAAACTTCACATGTTTATCTGAAACTTCACATGTTTATCTGAAACTTCACATGTTTATCTAAAACTTCATATGTTTAGCTGAAACTTCACATGTTTATCTAAAACTTCACATGTTTATCTAAAACTTCACATGTTTATCTGAAACTTCACATGTTTATCTAAAACTTCACATGTTTATCTGAAACTTCACATGTTTATCTGAAACTTCACATGTTTATCTAAAACTTCACATGTTTATCGGAAACTTCACATGTTTATCTAAAACTTCACATATTTATCGGAAACTTCACATGTTTATCTAAAACTTCACATGTTTATCTGAAACTTCACATGTTTATCTAAAACTTCACATGTTTATCTGAAACTTCACATGTTTATCTGAAACTTCACATGTTTATCTGAAACTTCACATGTTTATCTGAAACTTCACATGTTTATCTAAAACTTCATATGTTTAGCTGAAACTTCACATGTTTATCTAAAACTTCACATGTTTATCTAAAACTTCACATGTTTATCTGAAACTTCACATGTTTATCTAAAACTTCACATGTTTATCTGAAACTTCACATGTTTATCTGAAACTTCACATGTTTATCTGAAACTTCACATGTTTATCTGAAACTTCACATTTTTATCTAAAAGTTCACGTTGATCTAAAACCTCACATGTTTATCTAAAACTTCACATGTTTTCACATGTTTATCTAAAACTTCACGTGTTTATCTAAAACTTCACATGTTTATCTGAAACTTCACATGTTTATCTAAAACTTCACATGTTTATCTAAAACTTCACATGTTTATCTGAAACTTCACATGTTTATCTAAAACTTCACATGTTTATCTGAAACTTCACATGTTTATCTGAAACTTCACATGTTTATCTAAAACTTCACATGTTTATCTGAAACTTCATATGTTTATCTGAAACTTCACATGTTTATCTAAAACTTCACATGTTTATCTGAAACTTCACATGTTTATCTGAAACTTCACATGTTTATCTAAAACTTCACATGTTTATCGGAAACTTCACATGTTTATCTAAAACTTCACATATTTATCGGAAACTTCACATGTTTATCTAAAACTTCACATGTTTATCTGAAACTTCACATGTTTATCTAAAACTTCACATGTTTATCTGAAACTTCACATGTTTATCTGAAACTTCACATGTTTATCTGAAACTTCACATGTTTATCTGAAACTTCACATGTTTATCTAAAACTTCATATGTTTAGCTGAAACTTCACATGTTTATCTAAAACTTCACATGTTTATCTAAAACTTCACATGTTTATCTGAAACTTCACATGTTTATCTAAAACTTCACATGTTTATCTGAAACTTCACATGTTTATCTGAAACTTCACATGTTTATCTGAAACTTCACATTTTTATCTAAAAGTTCACGTTGATCTAAAACCTCACATGTTTATCTAAAACTTCACATGTTTTCACATGTTTATCTAAAACTTCACGTGTTTATCTAAAACTTCACATGTTTATCTGAAACTTCACATGTTTATCTGAAACTTCATATATCTGAAACTATGCATAAAGTTTATGAACTTATTTTAAACACTATTTTGAATATTGGTATTTTTAAACTCTGTTTCTTTAAAAATATTGCGCTGTGAGATGTGTTGCAACTTTCAAAATGTCTGTTTTGATTGATTCTTATGTAATTTTAATGTTTTTAACAAGCACAGTCATTTGAAAGAAGACTACTTATGACTCTATATGATAGATACCACATTAAACCCAACTTTATGAAATGAAAAAATTAAAAAACTATAAAATTAAAAAAATGATTAACATTGCAGATAACAAAAAAACTATCGAAATTAAAGCAATAATTAAAATGCAATTATCTCAAAGTCTTTTTTTGAGAGTTACAAAACGCTTCCGAGCAGCACACTTCGTTGGCTTAACTTCAAAACAACGTAGGAATTGTTCGACAAACCTTGTCCCAACGTTGAGCAAACGTGTTGTGCTGCCTGGGCTGTAATACACTGTACAAAGATAAATAATCTATTAATTTTATAAGTCTTACAAAATCGTCTTTCCGATCGCTAAAGTAAAGAGAAACATTATCTTGATCACCAAATGAAATGTGATTTTCGCGTTTAATTTGAGGAAAATGATGACTTATATCATAATTTGGAGCAAGTTGATCAAGCGAGTACCCACCAACAGGATGATTAAGATCAGTCTGCAACAGCCTGCATTCCTAGTAAATAAACTATAATTCTTAGAGTTTGAAACTCAGTATTAATTACAGTTATTGCAATGTAATCACCAAATACACTTACAAAATTATAAGAGAACTTCGTGTTTTTTGATAAATTATGTAACAAACATGAAATCTCTTATAAATAAACTAACTTGATAGGAAAATAGATTTTTTAAGTTTTTGTGTGTTTTCATAAATTTGTTTATTTTTTTACGATTGAATTTAAAATATATTTTGTTAATATTTAAGTTTAAATTACAAGAAATACTAATTATATAATTAAATAAACTTTTTGTTGATCTAGTGGCACTTCTTTGCATAATTACATAATTAATAAACTTTTTGTTGATCTAGTGGCACTTCTTTGCATAATTACATAACTAAATAAACTTTTTCTTGATGTAGTGGCACTTCTTTGCATAATTACATAATTAAATAAACTTTTTCTTGATGTAGTGGCACTTTTTTGCGGCAGAAATCTTTAAGATCAGTATTTAAACTACCTTTTTTTTAATTCATTAAAAAAAAGGATTATTATCATAAAAATGATGTGTTCCATCAAATCATTAGGTTAATCAAGATTATCCATCAAACTAATAGGTTTATCGAAATTATCCATCAAACTAATAGGTTAATCGAAATTATTCCGTTTTATTTTTGATATCCATGTATTCATTTAATAACCAACTTAATGCAAACGATCAATTATGATAATCAATTACCTCGTAAAGTAATAAAGCAACTGAAAGTGATTAAATAGATGAAATTTGTCACTTGTCATATTATATTTGGCTATAAATTTGAACTGGCTTATCAATAAAAATTGTAACCTAATAAAAATGATAAATAGTTTTTAGGAAACTTAAAGAAAACTTCTTATTTTTGTTTGAAAAACACAGGAATCATAATAAATGTTATAAAATATTAGGAAATGTTATAAAATTTATTTTGTTTGACTCAAAGTTACTCAAAGAATAATTCTTTGTCTTCGCACTGACTGAAGAATTTAAAAAACATGATATTATATGAAATATTATAAAATGTTTAATAAACCTGTAATGTTAAAAAGTTATTTTATCCACCCTAAAATACGAGTCATTAGTACTAAAGTTCAAAAGAATTTAAAAAGTTAGATGAAGACAAAGTTAAGCAATTGACTTCCCTAATAAAATAGTAAGGGAAGTCAATTTCTTTATTTAAAGATAATAAACAATTAGCCTTGCAAGTAGAGTAATGCCTTGTACCTAGTATTGATTAATATTTTTAACCTTTTTTTTGTTCGAAAATTAAATAGTAGAAGTTATATTTAATTTTAATTAAAACTTTGTTTTGAGTTTGATTTAACTTCGATTCGATTTAACTTTGATTTAAACTTTTGGGCATACACTTGCCGGATTATATTAATATATCCAGTTTGAGAAAAATTGATAAAGTATTTAAGTTTATTGGAGGTTAGCAAGATAATTCGATTTAAAAAAACATAAAATTCAAAGCAAGTTTGTTTTATTACGTTTTTCGTTCATTGTTTTTTTTTCAAATTATCTGGAATTATTTTCATTAGTATTTTAAACACATTTAATTTCTTTCTCCCTCTGATAACCGTTTTTTCAACGACTAATTTGAAAGCCAATTTTATTCATTGTTTAAGAATGGGGATAAAAGGGGAATAGAAAAAATCTAATGAGAAGGGGCACTGTGTTCTGTATTCTTTAAAAGTTAGCAATATATTTCTCTAAACAATTAGAGATGCTATAGTTAAAGGTTTATTAATTGAAGAGCCGTTATCCAGAACTTGTTAAGTCTATTTTTTCAAAAATTGAGTTTATTCAACATTTGAATCTTTTATTGATAAACGTACAAACCTAACAGTGCTAGTATCAATAGAAAATTTGTTCATCATCTTTATTTACGATTACAAAATCATAGGTATTAGAAAAATCTTTGCCGGACAATAAGTTTTTTGGGTTTTTCTCAAAACAATAATTTTGTGACTTAACCAGTTTTGGAAAACCGCTCTTCAATTTGCTGAAAATATTTTAAGTATTTTATTTTATTTTCCAAACTGACGATAAACATTGTAAACAGGGCTCGTTGATAAGACAACCAGCGTTTTCTTTTTCTGATTTTTTATTTATTATTATTATTTTTTTTAGGTGCTCAAGAAGTCCTTTCGCTCTTATCACAGAGTACCAATGAAGAGCATTTAATTGGAAGTTCACGCTTCCTTCCCAACTGATGTCGCCAAACTTGTCCAGAGGTGGGTTTGAACCAGGGGCGGACTGGCCATGTGGAAGATGTGGACTATTCCACATGGGCCGTTTTCATAATCTCATAAAAATGTAAAATTCAATAAAATATATAAATCGTTATTAATCTTGTTGCAAAAAAAAGCAATTTATTGTTTGAGAAATTAATGTTGTAATTTGTGTTTGTATTTTATAATTGTTAATTATCCTTGCTTTACAGTATTATATATTTTTTTATTGTTAAGTACTTTGTTTTTACGTATATGTATTCTAATAAATTTTTTCTGTTCGATATTTATTCATTAATGTATATATTTATAAATTAAGCATAACTTTGTAATTTACGTCTGTTATCTTTGCTGCTTTTCCTCATTTTTCGTTGGCCTACAGGGCCGTTAAAAATATTTTTCCACATCATAATAATTTGGCCAGTCCGCCCCTGGTTTGAACCACGGATTTTACGTTTCTGAGGCAAGTGCGCTACCGTCTTATTTGTTTTATGGGGTCACACAAAAAACCAAGACTTTTTTCTGTTTATAAACCACTTTAATTTGAGTGGTTCATAAACAAAGACAAGATTTGTTTGTAAGTTCTTTCTTTGAATGACTTTACTTTACGGTCATTAGGAAAAGATTCTATTGTTTAGATTTATTTTTGAAAACTTTTAGATTTGCGATTAATTTGACTTTTGAAAATCAATAATTTTGTGAATGATAATTAATAATTTAGGAATCCTAAATGCTTTGTTAACTTTTATTTCAAACAAAAAAAAAAGCGAAAGAATTATTTAGTTCTTACAGGCTCGTTGAAAAAATGTGTTGACCAATGAGGTGCAGAGAAAAGATCCATGTCTTCCATAATAAATTTTAAAAATACAAAAGAAGTAACAGTATAACAAATAAACTTTATTTTCAATTATTGCGTTATTTCTAAAACAAAAACTTTAATTTCTACAAGAAAAAAAAGTACCTTTAACTTCTACGCAATAGTGAACAAATATTTCATGCATTTTTTAAAAATTATACGTTTAGGTTTTATTGTCTAGACATTTAATTCAAATATTGCAGTTTATAACGCAATCAATTTAAAGCAATTTAAATTTCAAACTATAAACTCCTTTATAAAAAAAAATTACATAAATTTTAATATATAAAATATTTTAACCTCGGCGTATCCAGGAAGAATTTGATCCATCATTTTACTGGATATTGTTTTTATGATAGCTGAAACTTTTGTAGTGTTAAGTCTTCAAAACGCAGCTGTTTAGGTTGGAGCAAACGAATTATTCTTTTGTTTGCAAATGAAATATTGTCAAACATATTTGACGTTAAGCAAGCGCTAACAGGTGACCTGGAAGATTGGTTACTCACCACAATAACTGAAGCATGTACACAAACACTTAGTTTGTGTAGATGCTCAATTTGAGCCAAGCGAACCCTTGTATTTTTTTTATTATTAAAGAAATTAAAGGGAGACAAAAAGTAATATATTAAAACTTTTTGTCTTTATTTTTTCTAATTACAAATTCTGCAGACATAAAAAAAGTTTTTGACTTAAATAACTGTTTATTACTAATATTATTAGATTTTTTTAAATATGAAATTGTTTCTAAAACATCAAATAAATATAATTTTATATCTTAATAAATAGTTAGCTTTTTTGTCATGCTCATTGGTTTTAGCGGCATGCTTGTTCACCCATGATGCTTTTATGAGTGCGGCAAACAGTTTTAAATGAAACGGTCGAGTTTATTTAATACTTTAGAAATGAAAAGTATTGTTTGCTTTTTAATAAAAGTCTGTTGAAACATTTGTTGAGAATAATTTTTATATTTATACTTTTAATTTTTTTTTTTAGGTTTTTAATTTTAAGTTATTATATACTGTAAATAAAGTCCGTAGCTTATAAAAGCCTTTTTTCACAATATTGTGATAATGATGTTTTTAATGTTATTTTATTATTAAAACTTTAAGTTGTCAAAATGTTATTTTATTATTAAAATTTTAAGTTGTTAAAAGTGTTAAAAACCAAATAAATTTTATTTATTTAAAATGTTTCATTATATTATTACCAATTTTAACTGTTTTGGAATGGAAACACAATTAATTCGCAATTTCAAGCATTTCTGACCACTGTGCACCCATTTATTTAGTATTTACCATTATGGACGAGTGAAAACAAACCGTAAATTCACTGATAAAAGATGAAGATGATTTAATAAAGTCATTGATATGCATATTGTATCTTTCGCAAATAGCAAATATTCGATCATTATATGTCGCTTGAAGATCAATAAACTGACTAAAGCTTATCTTCAAAAGATGTTTAAAATTTGTTTTGTATGCCTTTGCTGTTTCAAAAAAACTATAAAAAAACGTATTTAAAACATCTTGTAAAAACCACGTTAATATTTAAAAGTCTATTTTTTTTTTTTTTTTTTTTTTTTTTTGCATATTTATTTGCCTTCAATAAAAAATTACAATTACAGAATAGCTTTAACAAATATAATAGGGAGGACTTCTGGAAAATTATACGATCTTATCATGAAGCACCTTTACAATATTAAATAGAATAATAATAAAATCAAATAAACCAATAAAAATAAATCAACATAAACTATATGTAGCTGTACATTTAAAATATAAATATACTGGATAAAATATATGAAATAAAAGAACTAAAAACAAGCAAAAATATTTTCTGCCGAAAAGATAACTTTTAACTTTCGTTTGAAGTAAGTTTAAGTCCATTTCAAGACAAATCAAAATTAGGCAAGAACTGAGATAAAAATAAATAGTTGTTCAAATTTAGTTTGGCAAGTTTTTGGAAATTTTTTTCATTGCGTAGAATGTATTTGTTTATGGGTTTTACAATATAAAGATTTATAAATACACCAGGAGATAAATGATTTTTACATTTAAACATGAAACAAAAAATATTATAAACATTTAGTTCGTATACATTTAAGGCTTTCATTTCTCTAAGAAGTGACTTTGAATTAGAAAAACGATTCACAAAATTAATTGAGCGAGCTGCTTATTTCTGATGCTGAAAAAGAGGTTTAAATTTAGTTTTGTGCGCGCTTCCCCAAACAATATTTGCAAAATTTAAATGGCAGTGGATAAACGAATAATATAGTTGCTTTAATTGTTGTTTATTTAACATATATCAAACTTTATATATAATTCCAATACTTTTAGCAACTTTCATTTTGTTTTTTCCAGGATAAGTTTTCGTCAATAAGAACTCCAAGAAGCTTTGTAACTTTTTCCCTTTTAAGTATTGTATTATCAATAAAGAGGTCGGGCATCGTATTTGGTAAACATTTTTTCTGGATATTGGGTAAAAAGTGTCCTTTTTGTTTTATCAATATTGATGGACAATCTGTTTTTCTTAAACCATTATGAAATTTTATTTAATTCTTGTGTCAAATTGTTAAAAAATGTATTTATGTTTTCATGAGCTTGGATTAGTTTGTGTCATCAGTGAGGCTTTGTTAAGGTTATTTATATATATTAAAAATAATATGGACCTACAATGGATCCATTTGGGACACCACACATTACATTCATTAAGAAAGGCAAAGAAGAGTGATATTAAGTTGGATATTAACGAACTACTTATGATTACTAGGATTTATCATTAATGCCATAGAGTTCTAATTTTTTTAATAGAATGTGGTGATCGACAGTATCAAAAGCTTTAGATAAATCGATGAATACTCCTAGGGTATAATGAGAGTTTTTAGTTTTAAAAGAATCAGAAATGCTACGTGTTAGTTGGAATATGGCGTGTTTAGAAGAATTGTTTCTCTGGAAGTCAAATTGATTATTATATAAAATTTTAGTATCAACAAAATAATTGTAGACTTTGTTATACATTATTCTTTTTAAATATTTTAAAGAAAACTGGAAGAACTGAAATAGGACTATAATTAGTAATGCTGCAATGGTCACCTTATTTATAAAAAGCAATTTTTGCTACTTTAAGAGAGTATGGAAAGGATCCTTGAGCAATAGATGCTTTACAAATTTTAAAGAGTATATCTTTCAAAACGTCGAAGGAGTCTATTACAACATTTCCATTGATGCAATCCCCAAATGCCTTAATTTGTTTTAATGATTTAAACGCACCTTCAAATTCGCTGTATGTGACCGTTAGTTAGGTTTGAAAAATTTAAAGTTAAATTAGGTGAAGCTATTAATTCATCAATTGATATGTCATTAAGATAAGAAATTTTATTTGATAAGCTTGTTCCGGTTGAAGATAAAAATTTATTAAATTCAAAAGAAATTTTATTAGGGTCGTTAAATAATTTATTTTTAATTATCATAGTATTTGGTACTGATATTGTACTTTTCTTGTTTTTTCGCGCGATCTATTTCATTAGTTGCCAAATACGATTTGAATTATGTTTGTGCTTTGCAAACAAGTAGGAGTAATTTCTTTTCGCATATTTGCGGAGTTTTTTGAAGTTAATTTTTTTAAATTAAGTAGTTATATTTACGATTGACTGATTTTTATTTAGGGCCGTCCCGAAGAGGTCTTCCATGGGGGGCTGTATGTATTTTTTTGCCAACTAGAAACACCAAAAAAAGTTCTTAATATTTGCAATTTGCCAACTATATTTCAAAACTTGCTCAATGTGCCAACTGACATTTTACCCTCCAGAATAACGGAAAACGATATTGAATACAAAAACAAAAAAGATATTTCAGAAATATTTAATCATTTTTTTGTAAACACTGGTCTAAACCTGGCATCAAAAATCAAAGGCTCAGAAACATCTTTTCTAAATTATTTTAGCGATTTTGAAAGCTCATTGCCAGATAGTAATTTAACTTTTGATGAACTAGAAACAGCAATCAAATCAATTAAAAAGAATAAGGCCCCAGGTATTGATGACATCTCTGGCAATGTTGTGCTTTATATTTTTTCTGTAATAAGAAAACCTATTTTTAATATCTTCAGCTCTTCAATCTAAAACGGAATTTTCCCAGACAAATAAAAAAAAGCAAAAATTGTACCTATATTTAAAGGTGGAGATACATCTGCAATTAGCAATTATAGACCAATCTCAATTCTTCCTATATTTTCTAAACTCCCTGAAAGAATAATTTACAACAGACTGTATAAATATTTAATAGAACACAAAATCTTAAGTGAAAATCAATACGGGTTTCAAACGCAACATTCAACAGAACATACTATCCTAGATCTCATTAATAACATTACAACTTCCTTTAATGATAGAAAATTTGTATTAGGAGTCTTTGTTGATCTTACAAAGGCGTTTGACACAGTAGACCACACAATACTACTAAAAAAAATGGAAAAATATGGCATAAAAATCAAACTATAAAATGGTTCGCCAACTACCTAAACAACAGACAACAATGTGTTACCATAGATCACTATAACAACTCAAAACAACTAAAAATCAAATGTGGGGTTCCTCAAGGATCTATTCTAGCTCCTTTTCTATTTTTAGTTTATGTCAACGACCTCCCTAAAGTCTCATCTAAGTTAGATTGCATAATTTTTGCAGACGACACTAATCTGTTTTATTCTTCTAGCTCAATCAGTGACCTCTTTATAACCGCAAACTTAGAACTTATTAAACTTAACACATGGTTCAGAGCTAACAAATTGTCATTAAACTTAAACAAAACTAAATACATCTTATTTCACCCCAACCAAAAAAAAAAGGCTATCCCATCAATTTTACCAACTCTTAGTATAGACAACACAATTATTGAACGAACTCAATCTAAATTTCTTGGTGTGCTTCTTGACGAGAAATTATCTTGGAACTCTCACATAAATACCATTAATACAAAAGTCTCAAAAAACATTGGTCTACTCTATAGAGCAAGAAACTATTTATCGTTCGAAAATTTAAAACTTCTTTATTTTTCCTTTATACACAGCTATCTATCATATGCCAATATAGCATGGGCAAGTACCCATAAAACTAAATTAAGTTCACTCTATAGACGACAGAAACTCGCCTCAAGAATTATTTTTTATAAAAACAAACTTACTCACGCAAACCCATTACTAAAACAGATGAATGCTTTGAACATTTACCAAATTAATATATATCAAAATATTTTGTTTATGTTTAAACATAAAATGGGAATTATTCCAAGTCGATTTATGAATAACTTTTTTAAAACTAATATAAACAAATTTAGCACTAGAGCAACTTGAAATTATATAGTACCCTTAAAAAAAGAAAACTGTCTCAATTCTCAATAGCATATCGTGGTCCTTACTTGTATAACAAATTAATACCAAAAAATTCCTAAATATATCTCCTAAAAAATATAAATTCCTTAAAATCTTATCTTAAAAAACTTGTCTTAAATACAAGCAGTTATATGGAAATTTTCAAATAACTTATGAGTAATTAAAATATCAAAATCATTTACATAAAAAAAAAAAAAAAAAAAATAATAATAACAATAAAAAAAAAGTACGAATATACATATATACATGTATGTGTATGTGTATGTGTGTATGTATATATATATATGTATGTATGTATATATATATATATGTATGTATGTATGTATGTATGTATGTATGTATGTATGTATGTATGTATGTATGTATGTATGTATGTATATATATGTATGTGTGTATGTGTATATGTGTATATGTATGTATGTGTATATGTATGTATGTGTATATATATATATATATATATATATATATATATATATATATATATATATATATATATATGTGTGTGTATGTGTGTATTTATGTGTGTGTGTATGTATGTATGTGTATATATATATATATATATATATATATATATATATATATATATATATATATATATATATATATATATATATATATTTTTTTATGTGTGTGTATGCGTATGTGTGTATGTGTATGTGTGTATGTATATATGCATATATATATGTATGAATATATATATGTATATGTGTATATGTATATATATGTGTGTGTATGTGTGTGTATGTATGTGTATATATATATGTATATATGTTATGTTTATGTTATGCTCCTTCCTAAAAACACGACTAATTATATTGAAAAATGTAATAAGTAATGAATAAAATATTTATGAGTATCTCATGAAATTGTTTAAAAAAAAGGGTTCTCGATGATAAGACTTTACACAGTTTTCTGCGAGTTTCCTTTGACTACATAACTAAAGGTTTAATTTTTCCTTTTTTAAGACATTTTTTGTCTTTTCAAAATATAAACTGAAAAACTATTTTACATTATTTTATTACTTTGTACATCAAATATATCTTAGTATTATTTCAGTTATTTTCAAAGCATTTTGACTTTATTTGTAAAAAAAGTATATATTGTTAAAACTATTTGTAATAAATTATGTATTGTTAAAGCTATGTAGTTGTAAAAATATATGAAAAAAAAAAAAACTCAAATGCTTCAAAGGGGGAAAACCCCGACACCCCCTTGGAGAAGGGCATGTTTATATTTGAGACTATTTAAATGACCAAAAGTCATTTAAATTTTTTTTTTTTTAAATTTAATTTTCCGTTTTTGTTACAATTAAGTTCCGTAATATAAAACTAGATAATCTTATTCTTTCAAAAATAAACCTGTTATAAAACAAAAATAACAAAAAAAAAAAAAAAAAAAAACACAAAGCAGTTTAAAAGAAATCATTAATAAGATTTGTATACTTTGAAATATTCTTTTTTATTAGTTTTTGAAAGCAATTTATATTGTTTACAACTGTTAAATTACTATATTTTGCTAAGATTTTATTCCGGATATGCGGAGCACGAAACGTATTTTTAAATTGTTCTTGTTTAGTTTTGCACAATGGTTCAATTAAGCCTGTTGTGCGTAAAGTATATTCAATGTTAGGTTTTATTTCATAAAGATCATTAAAAATTGAGGGGCATTGTTGAAATTTACTTTAGTACATGAGACATAAAATTTTATAAACGTTTATCTTGTATAACTTAAAAGTATTCATAATTTCGAACAGTGGATTTGCATGTTTGTTTTTATTTTTAAAATTCATTATTCTTAAGGCATGTTTTTGTTTTCGATAGAGTGTTTCAAGCATGCTTTTAGATGTACTACACCACGCAATATTTGCGTAATTCAAGTAACTTTGTATAAAACTGAAATAGATTTGTTTTAGATGATGCTTATTAAGTAAATCCCGTGACTGATATAGAACGCTAATACTTTTTGATATTTTGCTGCCAATATAGGCAATATGTTTATTCCAGGTAATATTTTCGTCAATGAGAACACCAAGAAATTTTGTGACTCTTTTGCGACTAACTTCTGTGTTTTCAATAACTAGTTTTGGAAAAGAAATTTTTTAAAGGGTGGAATAATGAAAACTTTGTTTTATTTGAATTAATAGAAAGTTTATTCGCATTGAACCATAGTGAAATTTTATCTAACTCGTTCATTTGTACGAAGAGTTAAGGTATATCTTTTTCTGAAATAAAAAAGTTACTGTCGTAGCAAACATAATTGTTGATATATTTGACGCTCTCCTGAGATCATTCACGTATATTAGGAAAAGTAGAGGCCCAAGAATAGATCCTTGGGGCACTCCACAAGAAATTAAAGATGAATTTGTAAGTTTTTTATTTCCGTAATATATGGACTGTGTACGTTTACTCAGGTAATCTGCTATCCACCTGCAGGATACGCCTCTTATGCCGTACATCTTAAGCTTTTTTATCATTATTTTATGATCCACTGTGTCGAAGACCTTGGAGAGGTCAATAAACACGCCTAAAGTAAACTCTCTGTTTGCAAAAGAGTTTTTTATTTCATTAATTAAGTGAAGTATTGCATGTTCAGTTGAAGTGCTTTTCTGGAATTTAAACTGTTTTGAATAGAATAAGTCATTATCTTTAAAAAACGCATATAACCTATTGAACATAGTTCGCTCACAATTCTTAGAAAATACTATTTAAATACATATAAATAGTCTTTTAAATGAATTTTATATTTAAATTATATTCGTCTGCGCAACATGACTTTTGCATATAGCAGTAATCCGTATTTATATATTGCATATAGCAGTAATACGTATTTAATACGTTTTTAAAGAAAAACTTATAAAACTTTTGCTGAAACATAATAGTTCGTTTTTTAAGGAAAAGACGTAAATAATATTCAAATATTACGTATTAAATACGTCTTGTGCTTGCTGGGTACATACATACATTAGATACATTAGATACATTACATACATTACATATATTACATACATTACATACATACATACATACATTACATACATACATACATACATACATACATACATACATACATACATACATACATACATACATACATACATACATACATACATACATACATACATACATACATACATACATACATACATACATACATACATACATACATACATACATATGCATCTTTGTATGTTTTTTTAAAAAAGCTAGTTAACCGATTTTCTAAATTTAATTGATATTCTTGAATATCGCAAAAAAATCTCACAGGTTTATGCGGCTTCAAAATAATAAAATACAAGGATTAAAACTGCAAAAAATAGTATTCAAAAATATAACAATAATTTCGTTGTTTTAGTTATAATATTTAGATTGCAAAATCATTTATATTAGAACATTTATATTAGAAAAACTTCACTTCAAATAATTTTTATTAGCCACGATTCGTTCCTGTTGCCCATGTTGGTTTATTTTGTCCGTCATAAATAACCAAGTTTCCATCTTTTTGCATTACCAAACGATGCGGCTTGGTCCCTTTTTGATTAGTATTACTTGCCCAAGTTGCTTTGTTATAAACATCGTAAATAACCAAATTTCCATCATTCTGCATCACAGCTCTTCTTGGGGCAGTTCCTTTATTATAAGAACCACTTGCCCAAAGAGCATTGCGTGGTACCCATTGTTGTGTAACATAAAGAACAAAGTTTCCATCTCCTTGCATAACTGCATAATATCCGTTTCCTGATGAAAGGTAATTTCCAGCATTGAGAGTGCGCCCATCTTTTAAAGTAGTTCCGCGGTTTAATTTAGCATCAAACTGAAATTTATAATGTTGTTGCCTTTTAATTAATCAAATAATATAAACTAGAAAAATGAGCAAGCACTTTCAAAAATTTTATTAGAAAATAACAAAAACTAAAAAACATCAAAGAATTAAAAAATACTGACCTGTTATCGTAGATGAATTTTATAAAAGTTTATAGGAAATATCTGTTCACAAAAGATCATCATTTATTATTCTATCTTTATTTATTATATATTATAGATCTATATTTATTATTATTCTGACCATATGTTACTTATGATTTAAATCAAAATTTTTAAATTTTTTAAATTAAAACTTTAGCCCAACATTTAAATTAATTATAATCGGGAGTTGCTAAAAGATATTATTATCAGAAAAATTTAACATTTTAGAACTTATTGCACGACTTTAATACAAATCATAACAAACAATGCATCATACAATCAATTTAAAGTTTTGAAAGTGCGGACTCTTTATGCATATATATGCATCTATATACTCTTTATGCATCATATTAACAATTATGGTTTCAATAACACTACAATGAGTTTATTGGGACAGTATAAATATGATTGAGGAAGTGCATGAAATAAATCGTACAACAAACAAGTAGCTATTCTATCTGACACGCATTTCTCAAGTATCTTTCTAATTAAAAAACAAAACAAAACTTGCAGTAAAAAAATGCAAAAGCTATACTTAGATACTCTTTTAAAATGGATTAGGAAACAATTAAAAACAGCTGATTAATAAAAATGTAGTTATGGACTAAACGCTATCTACTAGGACACAAATAGAAATTATTTAAGAAAATAAAAGCTTGTGTTATACATATGATACATAAGGAAAGTAAAACAATATGGTAGTCTACTAAAACAATATGATACCCTACTAAAATCTGATTGAGGTTTAATGAGACATTATCCAACTTTCTTTAAAAAGCTTCAAAAGTTCAATAATCAGTTAAGTTATAACCTTCTCCACTAGATACTAAGTAATTTTAAAAAAAAAGAAGATATTAATATAGAAATAAATATTGATCGTTTTTGATACATTTAACATTTGATGCATAGTAATAAATTAGTTAGTATTGATAATTGTATTTTTACGCAAGTTCTGAAAAATCAAAGAAACATTTCAAAACTCAAACTCAGCTTATCAAAAGAGAAACGTGATAATATAAAAAAATGTTGGTAAAGGACAAGTAATTTAATTTCACCAGTAAGGGAAAAGAAGAAACAATACCCAAAATGGGCAGCCTTTAATTAATGACAAACAGTGGTACAGTGGCACTTTTGCATTTCACTATTTGCCTAATTATTTAAAATGTCACTTATCAATTTTTTTGTTACTTTTAAAATCTTATTCTTAATTCATAAATGGTCACACAAAACTAATGGTTTTACATTAGCTAAGTTTATATTACTTTTGGTTCTACATTAGTTAAGTTTACACGACATAATACTCATTACAATAAACTACCTGTACGTTTCTTTTTACAGTTGTACTGTTTTCATCTCTTAACGGCCATAAACCTAAATACAATAAGTTGAATGAGATATATAAGATAATGAAACAATTATCAACATTTTAATGTGTATTAAGACAGGTTAACCTGTTTTAAATCAATTACATATTATTGATAGGAAAAAAATCCTGTCGTAAATTTTGCTTTTTTAAATCCTTAATGTAAAAGGTTAAAAAGATTTCAACATTGCCTCGCTTTACAATACAGCAGTTCAGCACCATTTCAAAAAAAATTTTAGGTTAGAGTTGAAGCTTATAAAACTTTAATTTTCATAGTTTTTTAAGGAAAAAAACTTTGAATACAATTGGAAACTTTATAGATTGATCTAGGGCCGTCACGAAGAGACGGCCCTTGATTGATCGATTAATGAAACATTGAGTATTGAAAGAAGATCAAGTAATGAAACACTAAATAAAGCAATTCATTACAAAATATTGATATCAGGAGCAATGGAGAAGAAAAACTAGAAAGTATTTCTAGTTAAACATTATTAATTTAAAAGCTGTAAAATTGAAAAAAAAAAAATGAATTTAAGATATTCTAAGCATTCTGAGTCTACTGTTGTACTAATAGACTTTCTAGAACACCAATAATATCAACAATTTTGTAGTTAACTTTTGTAGAAGGAGATACAAATAAGTTTCTTTTTATCGGTCTTCTTTTAAAAATAAGTAAAACATAGACAGTATATAAAGGCCTTGTATAAAATTTAACACCTGTTAACTTTGACAAAAAGCTAATTATTAATCTTTCAGATAAAGTTGTTATTATAAGACAGAGACAGAAAACATAAAGTTGTAGTTATAAAATAGCTATATCAAAAAACCTAAATGGAAAATAACTATAGGTGTTTTAGGAGGTTTAAGTCTTTCTTGAATTAATATTTTTAAAATCTCTGTAGCTAACTGAGTCTGAATGCATGCATTTCTTTCACGCATGCAAAATATATTATATCAAAATTAAGTCCCAAAATTGGCAACGCCCCTGCTCTAAATGTGAGAACAACAAATAAATAAAACATTAACTTAATTAATATTCATTAATTAATTAATGTAATTAATTAATTAATTAAGTTAATAAAACATTAACTAAGTTAATGTTTTATTAACTTAATTAGTATTAATTAAGTTAATAAAACATTAACTTAGTTAATATTCATCAATAATTTTTAAATTTTATACGAAATTTAAAAAAAAACATAAGTTATTTTATAATTAATGCAGGCCTTGTTAACAAGCGTTACGCAGCTCGCATTTTGCCTGCGAAAAGGCGATTTGCGTTCAGCAGTTATGCGTTACGCAAAAACTTTTATCTTTTAGAATATTTAAATTATCTTTTTATATCGTTTATGTGACGTTCATTCAGAAGTATTAAAGTCGTAAGTAAAAGCATTTAACCGCAATTGTAAACTAATAGTTTTTTTGTTAAAGAAACAATATGTTTAATAACTTTTTTTTTGTTTTTAAAAATTACTTAAAGAAAATAAAGTGTTTTAAGTTTAAACTTTTCATCATATTTAATTTTAAATATTAGATTTCATAAGTTTATAAACAATCAAATTTAAAAAAAGAAATATTTTCAATTTATTTTATTAAATTTAAATATTTTTTTAATAATTATACTTTTTAGTAAATAAATTTATTAAATTTAATTAAAATTCTTTCATTTAATTTTAAAACAGAGCATTTAAAAATTTTTTAATTTTAAAATGCTCCGTTTTTTTATGATAAAATTACCAAAGTAAAAAAAGATTTAATAAATTTAATTCAAGTTACTTTAAAATGTTCGTATTACATATAACTTTATTTTAATTTTAGTTAAGTTTCAGGTAAGTTCCAAATACTAGTCTGAATAATGCGCTTAACAAAAGCGCATTATTTTCCAGTTTTTATTTTTCCATTATTTTACAGTTTCATTCATTATTTACAGAAGCGCATTATTCATTTTTTAAATACAAGTTAATAAATGACGTCAATTTTTTTTAAACTCGAGTTATAAATGTAAATTAATAAACGTCCTTGAACAAACCAAAACTCAAACCTATTAAAAATAACGCGATCAGTAAATAAACTCTTTAAAAGCCCAACTTATCTTTATTTTATTTTAAAAACAAAACTAGTACTTGAGCAATAAATATAAGATACATAAGTTTCAAAATTATAATGATATTTGTTAAAAACAAATTCTGCTTATAACATCTTAAAACTGAAAACACTATTTTTTTTGGCTTGAGTAAAAAAATATTAGGTTTCATTGTACATAAAAATAAAATATTTTAATGGAAATGAAAAAAAAACAAAGCCGAAAAAGCAGTAAATTTCGTTTCTTTACAACATTTATTTTATCAAAACCAGTTAGTGCAAACGTTTTTTTAAAAGGGGAAAACCCAATCTATGCGTTTAGTACATTTAAATCCCTTTATGAAAATCAACCATAAACAAGTGTTAAATTTAAATTATTTTAAAAAAATAATAAAAAAAAACAACCATAAAACGAATGTTTAAAAGCAAAAAAATTAAGTTTAAAAAGTATAAGATTTTAATACAAGAAGACTTTTTTTTAATCAACATTGAAATTTTTTTTTTTTATAACAACATTGTTCAATTTAAAGCTATTTCGTTTCAAAGACTAACAATAGTTTTTAATGTCATTTTAAATTTAATTACAATGAAGTAAAAACGCAACTGACGTAAATTAACTTTTAACTATGTAAATACCTTTATTGAGTAAAGTTACATTTATTCACGTTTCGCTTTTCCGTTACGCAGCGAAATCTCGTAACAAGGCCTGTAATGGGTGAAAATTTTTATCATATTTAGGCAGTTGTTATGGACAATTTTATAGTTAAAATATTCTCAAGCAGATTATAAAAATTTTGCAAAACTCCCTTCAAAAAAAATTTTTTTTATTGGATAAATTGTTGAGTCTTTTTATTATAACTTTAAAGTAGCAACTATATTTTTTTTCAAAATTTTCTAAAACTGTTTCATCCTGTTATTTGCTAAGCATATTGACATTCATTGCCGTAGCAAGCTTTGTTTAAGTCTAAACAAAATTTGCACCCCCATCACTAAAGAAATGGGGCATTTATCAACATCTATTAAATTGGCCAACAAGTTATTAAAAACTGTAAATTTATATATAAAAAGAATTGAATTCTTACAATATTTTACAAATTTTTCTTGATTTATTGATGTTATTGATTAATGAAAGGCAAAAAGTAAAGAAAAATGTTTTGCTAAAGTTGAACTATTTAAAAAAATAGTTAACAATAAAAATAAAGAACTAATTATTTCAAGGTCATAAATTTCACCGCTTTGTTTAAATTAGTGCTTTTAAGACTTGAGTCTCACTCGCCACAACCTTGCTAGGGCAATTTTAACTTTATAAATCAATAAATTATGCTATACTTTAAAATGGTTTAAATGTATACCAAAATTTTCAACCAATACTGCCAAGTAGGCAATTAGTGTATATGTGTGCGTGCATGTGTGTGTGTGTGTGTTTTCTAAGTATCATACTAAGCAAATTAATTTATTATTATTTTACTGAATATTCAAATCAAATGTTTACTAATGTCATTTTTAGATCTGATAATATGAATACGCTAATTTAATATTAGTCGAGTTACGTCATTTTCTAGGCTTTTCTATTTTAAAGTAGTTTCTAGGCTTTTCTATACGCGGCTTTTTTTTTTAATTTTATTTACTAACAACGCGTATTACGGGTTGCTTACTGCTAGTAAGTTATTATTATCTAACACAGCTAGTGCATTAATAACCTGTACCTTTTATAAAGGTGTTTTAAATGCATACTTTATACATAAAAACCTTTTTATTATCTTAAAAAATTTGTATGCAATCAGCGGCGATTCTTAGAATAGTATGAGGGGGGGGGGTGAATCCTTAAAAGGTACTGAGTGGTTTCTTAACAAAAAAAATTCTTTAAAATCACACCCTCCCCCTGAAATTGTATTTGTATGCAATCTTTACACATAAAAAATCTTTGTTTATTTAAAACACTCAACAAAAATAATTCAAATAAACCCTAAAAAACATAAATTTTACTAAGTTTAGGCATATGGCATTCTAATAGTTGATTTGTCGTGATATTCTAATAAATACAAAAACTTTTTTTACATATAAAAAGAATATACATGGGTGATGTGGTACTTATATAATAAGTCCTACTAATATGATATTATTTTTCAATCTAAAGCAGATATGAAACACAATAATTTGAGCTGTTGTTAATAACATCATTTCAAGTAACAACTTGTTATGGTCTTTTAAATAAAAATTACCAACAAGTTCTTGATTAAAAAGTGTTAGATTACATTAATATAAATAAACAAAATTAAATTTTTATTGACAATATGCAAAATGATTTAATTTTTATTTTGTTCAAAATTTTATTTTGTTCAAAATAATTTTTATTCAAGTTCAAAATAAATTTTTAATTCAAGTTCAAAATAAATTTTATTTTGTTCAAAATTTTAAATTATGATAGCTGCACACCAAAAAGTTTTTTAGCATCTCATACTTTTGAAAGATAAGATTAATTAATTTTTCTCCAACAAGATTAACTATAAAAATAGAAACTTTTAGCGTTTGAAAACGTTTGCCCAACTAAAAGTTTAACCTTTTCTTTTAATTCAAATAAAACAATAATTCTGCAAAGAAACTAGTTCAAAAAATCATTTCAAAATCAGTTGTGATAGATAAAACAGGATTGTTTTACGCATTTTATTTACATAGAAATAAGATTGGAGAGTTACAAAACAATAAGTTTACAAAGTTAAATAGGGAGGAAGTTGCATATTCAACAAAGGTAATTAAGGCGAAATAAATGCAACCAGGAAAACTCCTTATAGGTAAAAAAAATTGAAAGAAAGACTACATGATTTAAAATATAGATAAAAAGCATCAAAATGAAAAGATTTTTTTTGTTCATTTTTTTTTAAAAAAAGTCTTTGACACTAAATACTTTTTAAAACATTAATTTTTTTTACAGTTAAAAAAACATATGATAAATCATACATAAATACCTGGACAATGAGTAGCACATGGTATACTCTCAACTAACTGAACATCTTTACATTTATGTGCAGGTTTGCAAGTTCGTGTACGTGTGCTTATTGAGCAGTTACTAAAAGGAGACCACTCGCTAAGTTTTTGCCCTTGAAGTAAATAAATAGTTAATAAAAAGTGTATATCTATAAATATATCATAAAACTAATAAAAATAATTTAACAAACATGTTAGTATTAAAATTTCCTTAAAGAGAACCGGACTTTGTAAAGCTGTATTAGCTCAGGGTTCAACAAGAGTCATGTGGTTAGATAATCCAACCTCTATCAAAATAATTTTGAAATGCACCAGTTATTAAACTTTGAAATTAGGAGTAACTTTTATTAATTTTCTATGTGTCACTTCATACTTTAGAAAAAACTTTTTGACAAAACAAATCAGTGAAGAGTTAAAGAAATCTCATTGTTAACAACAAAAAGAGTTGAAGAAATCTCGTTGCCAGTGGGCCAGGTAATGGAAAAAAGTATAAAAAAATATAAAATAAATGACATTGTTATATAACATTTTATAGCTTAAACATCCGGCTTTTATAAAATATATATATTTCTGTATAACTATCATGTCATTTGCTTTTTAAGCTGTTAATAAAAAAGGTTTTTTTTTTCAATTTTTTTTTTATGCATAATATGCATAATTATGCATATTATATTATGCATAATAGTATTAATAAAATATCTTGCCCAATATGTACATTATCGATATATATTTTACTTATTGTCGGCGGGTGTCAGCTGCGTCTCTATTAATGATTTTTACGTTTCATCTTTGAGGCAGGGGGGTCAACATTCTGGCTTTTCTTTGCATTCTCAGGCTCCAATCATCGCAATTTTTTTAGCAAATCATATTTTTATCACATTAAAATAAACATATAAATATTTGGAGTTTGTTTATTTCCAATTGTCTCATAAATAGTATATTTTTTGTATTTCTCGGCTGAAAATGAAATATTTTGATAACTATGCATTCATTATGCATAAGCCTAATAATCTACAAATATCTGACTCTGGTAACGTGGACAAACTTATTGATGCTATGAATTTGGATTGCAACAAGCAGAAATTAGAAACTATAATAACGCATCTACGAGATAAGTGGCGCAAGTCATATTGCAGCATGGCTCGATTTGAAGAAAAGAACAAAAAATGGCTGCAAAGCCATGTTCCTGAAAATCTAAATGTAACACCAATAACTATGGGAAGACCAAATAAGACAAACTTTGATGACTACTCTACTAAAACCAAAAAACATAAAGTTAGTCACTTAACTAAAATGTATTCTGCTTCTGCGTTACAATTTGGTTCAGAAATTAAACGGAGAAAAGAAAATCCAAATTAAAAAACCTTAAAAAAATATTGTAGAATGTCTAAATATGAAGTTATTTGTCTTCTGTTAGATGCTAAATTCACAAAAGCTTCCTATTTAATTATTCAAAATCAAGCAGTTAAATGGGAGTTGATATATATCCTCCATATAATGATGTTCGGGATGCAATGCTGTTATGCTATCCCGCAGATATATCTGTCTCAGACTTTTCAGCTAAAATAAAACTGCAAGCTTTGGTCGATCATACAGCGAATAGAATATGCAAGACACAATATGATGTCCTTAGCACTGAAGGCACTCCAGATAGACTTTCTCTGAGATACAAAATAGGCTTTGATGGTGCCACAGGACAGTCTATATATAAACAAGTATCGCAAGGAACAGTAATAAGAAATTTAGACAATGAGCAGGCACTTTTTATTACTTGCCTAGTGCCATTGGACTTGTGTGGTTTTTCAAATGGAAAACAGTACCTAGCTTGGCGAAATCCACGACCATCATATAGTACAATGCTGTACTATATGTGGGGCAAGTCCTAAAGCAATGAATGATATTAAAAAATGGTTTGAAAAAGGGTATGGGAGGTAGCTATTCATTTGGTTTATCGTCCTTACATGCTTGGTTACAATTTTTTGAATGTTTATAACATATTGAATATAAAATAACTTTGAAAAAGCACGCAAATAAGAAGACTTTTAAAAGTGTCGTGAACATTTTGCAAGAAAATCATCTCTTTTGAAAACTAATCAAGATTTGTTAAACCGATTTCTGTGTACATCTGATCTGTTTATTGCATCTCTGAGAAAGACAGCAGGAAGTCACACCAAAACGAAAAACTTACCAGCTGGAGTTATTGATTTATTGAGGTCATCCACAGATGATATTAGTTTATAAATGTATCTTTTGTATCTTTATAATTTTGGAAATTTCTGTACCTATATGTAAGTGTGACTGTAAATTAAAACAGTTAGTAATGCTCAATCCTATTAGAATCATCAAATTAATTTGCATACCAAGTTTAGAAACATTTGGCTAAAAATTACCCTTAGGAAGTAAGCATAAATATGTGTTGCTATGCAAATGGGGTTGCCTTGGCAACCACACCAAAAAACAATGCTCATATAAATTATAATCATCCAATTAATTTATATACCAATTTTTGAGGCCTAAGGATAAAAGGAAAAAAATGTTATGATTTTTTTCCAAATATATGGGGTTCTGGCCCACTGTACGTTGTTTACAACAAAAAGGAGTTGAAGAAATCTCATTGTTTACAACAAAAAAGAGTTAAAGAAATCTCATTGTTTTCGTTAGATAACAGTAGTTAGGGATTTTATCTGATTGGAAAACATTTACGGAATCCTGTTGGTTGGAAATTTAATAAAAATTTAATGTATATTGTATGCATTATAAATGAAACTTATTTAGTTAAAAAAAAGTACTTAAATATATATATATATATAAACTATATTTATTTTTCAATTTTATCTAAATTTATTCAATATAACGAAGTTATCATTTTTTGTTTAAAAAGTACGTTGTCGTGAAAATGATCAATAGTAAAAGCGAAATCTATGCGTTAACTAAAATTTAAATTAAAATCAAAAAAAGTATACCGCGCTTACCGCGCAAACTTTTATTAAAACTGGATTTTTTAGTTTTCCTAAAAAATATTGATTTAGCACGCGTAAATAAATGTTTCAGCAAATTATATATTTTATTGGCGTGCAACATTTTTGAAGCCGTCTTTGAATGTTTATTCGAAAAATGTTATATATTATTAAAAGTAAAAAAAATTATTTTGAAATTACCTTTTGAAAATGAAAAGAAGCACACAAACAAGAAACCAATTGAATACTTCATTCTAAATATATTTTTAAAATTTTTTTGTTAGTTGTACTTAGTAATTTTTTTATTTTTTAAATAAAAATCAATTATAACGCCACATTGTGGGGCATTAGCTTTTTTTTCAGGTCACAACAACAAGTTCATGTCTATGTTTTACGGTGTAGAGAAAAAAAAATTGTAATATAAGCAGTGTGTATTTTAAGTTGTAATTGAAATAATACGCGAACGGCACAACTCCGTATAAAATTACGCAGGTTTTGTAGCGTTTCTAAAATAAAAGTAATAACACGTATCAATATTAGGGTTTCAAATTCCGTGAAACTATTTACCAAAACACCAATTAGGATATAAATGGTTTTACTGTTACGGAAATGTAATATATTATTATGATAAGTTTTCGTAACAAATATAAACCAGTAATAAAGCACATGATATTTAAAATTGATTTTTAAATCTCAAAACCCGAGTAAAACAGCTCCTGAAATCAACGTGTTTTTGGTATACGCCTGGATAGTGACAAACACATGTCTAATTGGGTTTTGATACCAAAAAAGAAACAAGATGTGCTGGCTGGATATATATATATATATATATATATATATATATATATATATATATATATATATATATATATATATATATATATATATATATATATATATATATATATAATTTTTCTTAATTATACTTATGGTTTAAAAGATATGGCTTCCAGATTAAAAACTCAGCTCATCCGGTGATTACAATTAACAAACTTTAGTCTTTAATTTTTTGTTGAAATTTTTTTCAAATCTTATTTTTTAACAGTTCAATTAGAATCTTTGGAACAAATAAAATCTTTCTTATTAAACAAATAAAAACTATTCTTAAGTCGTTCTTATTACAAAAAGATTTTAATTTAAATTTATAAAATAAATAAACTGAAAAAGTTCGTTACTATCATTTTTTTAGTATTCTTATTTCAAAATAAAATAAACTTTATTAAATTACTGCGCGTATGATTCCATTTCGTCTTACCATAAAACTACAAAAACAAGTCAGGCACTTCCCTTTGTTTATTCTGATTAACCTTTCATTTTGTTCATTTTTTATAAAATGTTCCACAATTTTAAATGTGATTTAAACTAATAATTTTTGCTATTTCACCTTTACTGATGCTTCAATATGCAAATCCCTTTTGATTCTCCAACGAGTCTTTTTACCACAACTTCTTTATGTAACTTCGGCTAGTTAATGATTTATGTAAAGATATGAACTTCTAAATATGTAGGTCCAACGTTATTATTCCGATGACGAAAATGAATGCGATTGGTCAAATGACCAACCGTTACTATGATACATACTAATTAGTATAAACAAGATTTTTTTTGAATAGTGTTGTAGATAGGTTATATTTTTGTTGTAATAATCTTTTTTTTTTCACAAACCTCAATAACGTCAAACTTAATGGTCAAAATGACGAACATTTTAAGTTTTACTAATTAGCATAAATGACAGTTGTGAATAAATAAAGGGAAAGCTTACAACATTATTTATTTCGTATGACTAGTATGTCATTGAGTAATTTTCTTTTAATAGCGGTCATCTACTTAACAGATAAGTGAACAGGGAATTTTTAATTGCATGGTCGCGGGCAGTGCTCAAAAACATGACACATACGTAACAATATGACGCAAAACTTTGAAACAATGTCACATAAAACAATTAGTTTTATTTAAAAAGCGGTAGACTAATATGTTTTAAACTATCAATAAGACTGTGAAAACCCAAACCTCTGGACCTTTAAACTCCATAGATCTTAAGGTTACCAATAAAGCTTACAACACATCTTTTGATCATTTTAGTTTTTAACATAAGAAAATGTTTTGTTAAAATGAGAGCGTCTAGTTTAAAATTTTTATCAAATTATTACAAAATACTATTATTTGTATACTATTATATATATACTATATATATATATATATATATATATATATATATATATATATATATATATATATATATATATATATATATATATATATATATATATATATATATATATATATATATATATATATATATATATATATATATATATATATATAATAGCATATATAATATATATATATATATATATATATATATATATATATATATATATATATATATATATATATATATATATATATATATATATATATATATATATATATATATATATATATATATATAAACATATATATATATTATTATTTATGAAAAATTAGTTTTTTAAAATAAAAGTGTTTTACCAAGCTAAAAAAAAATGTCGTAAATAAACATTCTACACCTTTTCAAGATGTAAATGAGAACATGAAAGTTGTAATTAAGAAGTCGTAATATGTAATTAAGAAACACAACATGTAATTGAGAAAACGTTATATGTAATTGAGAAAAACAACATGTAAATAAGAAGTCGTAACATGTAATTAAGAAACACAACATGTACTTGAGAAAACGTAAGATATAATTGAGAAATCATAATATGTAATTGAGAAATCGTAACTTGTAATTGAGAACACACAAATTAAAATAGCAAGTTCACAGTCTAAGTTTGTAGGTTGTTACAAAAGGTCTTTTTGGACATGAATTTAAGTTATAATTTTAAATTTTGCTTTTGTATGCACAAGTAATAATAATGGAATTGAAAGATCGTTGTGTTATATGCCAATACACTATGACCCGAAAGTCTGTGATTAAGCTAAATCCGTGTCAACATTTATGTCACCAAATTTGTTTACGTCCAGTTCTGGAACAACCAGATTCAAGTTGTCCGATTTGTCGGCATGAAATACACACAACTGAACAAGTTGAAAGGAAACGCTACGTTTTATCTTCTCCAAATGACAGGAGAAGAGTTGTTGAATGTGCGGAGCGATTTGAAGATTGGGTGAATCTCGCGCAAACGCTAGGTATTAAATATAAGACAGCATACAATTGGGTTCGCAGCGGAAATTCAAATTTCATCGGAAAAGGAGGTTTTAAACCGAAAAAGTTGACCGAAGATCAAATCAAAGAAACATTAACATGGATTGAAAATGATTGTCAATTAACATTGGTGGCCATCAAAACAAAGATATTAAGACAATTTAACATAAACGTTAGCACAACAACAATAGCAAATTACCTCGAAGGCAGATTGTTCTCATTAAAAAAAGTGCACAAGGAGCCTTCTACAATGAACAGTTATGAAAACAAACAAAAAAGAGCTGAATATGTTAGAAACATCAACGAGCATATCACAAATGGTCGTCAGATAGTTTGGTTGGATGAAACAAATTTTAACCTTTTTTGTAGAAAAACGCAAGGACGCGCGAGACAAGGAAAAAGAGCAATTATGAAAGTACCTGCTTCAAGAGGTTTAAACATACACTTTATCGCAGCTATTTCAACTAAAAATGTCGTCATGATAGAAACTCGCAGGGGATCATTTAAAGCAGATTCCTGTAACGAGTGGATGTTGGCTATGTTTCACCAGTGGGTTACATCCGGGAATCGTTTGGAGGATTTGGTCGTCGTAGCAGATAATGCTCCTTGTCACGCTCGTTTGCAAAGGGTGTTTGATAATTCACCAGCTCAGTTGTTACGTTTGGGACCTTACAGTCCAATGTTGAACCCGGTGGAAACGATCTGGTCCAAAATTAAAAGTAACGTTAAAAATGCAATTCGCATTCCACCTGTATTAGGTGACGGGATTGCGGAACAGCGCATGCAGTACTTAGAACAAATTGTAATTGAGGCGAAAAATACTATAATGGGAGGAGATTGTGCACGTGCGGTACAACACACAACCACGCACTATGGAACTATTTTAAATATGGAAGACGTACAAGTTGGTGCTTAAATGATCAATGAAGTGATTTTTAATTATATAATTTTTAATTATAATTTTTAATTGAATTATAAATTTTTCCCTAAAATGTTTTTAGTGTTTATTATGTTAAATTCATTTGCCCAAAAATTATAAATTTTTCCCTAAATTTTTCCCTAAAAAATTAAATTTACGCTACAAATCTTGCGTCATTTTTAAGTGCGTCATTTTATACGCTCCATTTGTTTACGCGCCATTTTTTTTAAGCGCCATTTTACTCTTACTCCTTTAAAGCGATATCTAAATTAAAATTTTCGTGTTCTCAATTACATCTTTCTATTTCTTAATTACAACTTACATTTTCTCAATTACATGTTACGATTCTTAATTACAATTTTCGTTTTCTAAATTACATCTTATGTTTCTCAATTACAACTTACGTTTTCTCAATTACATCTTACGTTTCTTAATTACAACTTTTGTTTTCTCAATTACATCTTACGATTCTTAATTACAATTTTTGTTTTCTCAATTACATCTTGAAAAGGTGTATACTCTCGCGTTAAGTAATTATTTTACACCAATTTGCTTTATAATTAACTGTCAGTCCTATTACGTGGATGTCTAAGGGGTGTTTTGTTTTTAGGAAAAAGTAACCTTAAAAACATTTTTAACAATAACGTTCGGCAAAGAGGGAGAGGGTTCTCAGGTTTTTGAAGCCTAAGAATAGACTGACAATGAATGAGAGATAGGGCTATTTTTTGTATGGACCTGGCAACAAACAAATTTCATTGCCAAATATTGAAAAAGAAATACGTTTACTGATAATTTTATGTATAAGTTGGATTGTTTAAAGTTTTATAAAGCATTATGTGTCCATGGAAGACATTATGTGTCCATGGAAAGCATTGAAAAATCCATGGAAAAATATTTAAATAAGAATACGTAATTTTCAATCCAGAGGTCAATTATCAATTATACTTCAAAAATTCAAGAAGAAATTATAAAAATGTTAATTTCAAATTTTTTTCCACACCAACACAACTAGGGCGTCGTTGTTGTCAGCATAATCACAATCATTTTTATCTTTTTTTTTATGTGTTATTTTCTTTAGTTTTCTTTTTTTTTTTTTTTTCCATAAGATATGTAATAAGAATAAAAAGTTTTTATTTTCTACCTTTTGTTTCAACATTAAACTTTTTATCTTTTTTTAATCATCATGCTTCTTATTATTTAACTAATAATATTATCTTGATCCTGTTTTTTTTAACCCTTTTTTAGTGATTTTTTGTAACCTTTCTTATCGAAAAAATTCTCTGCCAAGTTTTGATTTAATTATCATCATTGGTTATAATACATTGGTGGGCAATTTTATATTGGACATGCTCAATTATAAAATATATAAAATAAAAACGTCATAAGTATTATCAATACTTTATCTAATTATTGTCAATACTTTATCTAAAAATAGAATCGCTCAAACAAAAAGCAAATAATCGTGGATTACAAATAAAGTTCCACGTCAAATCATAATTAATGATTTCAAAAATATATAAAAATTAAAATGGGAATATGTGTAACTGACATTTTAAATTATAGGGCAAAGGAGGGCATTAAGACCACTTTTTTCATATATTTACAGATTTTTCTATGGAAATAAATGAATATTATGAAATTCCAGAATTTTTTTTTCATAGTGAAAGACAACATATTTTTATACGAGGCATAGCATTTTATTCAGAAAAAAAAAGTTTTGTATAGTGCCAAGACTGGTAAGAAGTTAAAAAAAAAAATTGCAAAAAAAAAAAAGGGGGACCAATATATTAAATATATATATTTTTACCAAGACTTAGTGCTATAGTTCAAATTTTATTTGATTATTTAAATATCGTCCTTTTTTGTAATTAAAGTGTCTTCGACATTCTATAAAATGTCAAATGTGTCGTATCACACCCATTTATGTCGTCAAATAATACCGAATATTTAATGCCGCACGGTAAGATACGGTACAATAGAATTTCGACTAGGAATAAAATAATATAAAGGTTAGACTTTGTTCAAGCGAACATAAATGTGCGATAATTCTCCAAAAAAAAATCCTCTACAATTATAGCTCCGAAAGGTGTACTTTTGAGCCTATATAAAAGGATTATATTTGTATAAGTAGAAAAAAAAATTTTTTTTTTAATAAATTTTTTATATATTGTTGGAAAGATAAATCAAACGCTGATTCATATTCGTACAAGAAATATGGCCTGAAAATGAGTATTTAAAAAGTTATGATTAATTATTCCAATCAAAAAATTATAAGCAATACAGGGATAAATTGTAATTTGACTATTGATGTAATCCTTTATAGACGGTATAATTTATACAAAGTTAAATCTATTTATTCATTGGACAAACAAACAAAATAA